TTCTTTCTCTTTCTGGCTTAACTTCACTTAGAATGACATTCTCCAGGGACATCCATGTTGCTGCAAATGGCATTATGTTGTCATTTTTATGGCTGAATAGTATTCCATTGTATAAATATACCACAGCTTCTTTATCCAGTCATCTGTCGTTGGACATTTAGGCTGTTTCCATGTCTTGACTGTAGGTCACAGTGAAAAAAAAATATGGCAATGAATATATGTATATTCATGTATGACTGAAAAATTGTGTTCTGCACTGGAATTTGACACAAGAGTGTAAAATGACTATAACTCAATAAAAAAGTTTTTAAAAAAGGAAAAATTTTTTGAGAGGGAATAAATGAAGGTATTAATAAAATCTTTCAGTTTTGTTATTTAACTGATCTAACAGCAGTTTTATCAAAAAATAATAGCAACAAAGTATTGGATGATTATAGTTTATGGATAAGGGAAACGAATGATAGCAATGTGATAAAGGACAGGAGAGAGGAACTGGGAATATTCTGTTATAGGGTACCTGCATTACCCATGAAGTATTATAGCGTCATTTGAAGGTGGGCTCAGATTTGTTGTAAATGTATATTCCAAACTCTAGGGCAACCACTGAAAAATGTAAACGTAAGAAATATGGTTGAAATTCTAAGAGAAGAGAGAAAATAGAGTCCTACAAAAGACTCAACTAAAATCAGAGAAGACAAAAAATGAATGGAAGGCCCCACAAAAAAGAGAGAAAAAAAGACCAAGGGCAATGAATAGGAAACAGTTACAAATATGGTAGATATTAATCCAAATATAAGCGATCACTTTAAATGTGAATGGTCTAACTATGCTAATTAAAAGGCAGAGACTATCAGAATGGATTTAAAAAAAACACTCTCAGATACATATTACTATATATAAATAGATAGACAACAAGGACCTACTGTATAGCCCAGGGAACTATATTTAATTTCTTGTAATAACATCTAATGGAAAAGTATCTGAAAAGAAAATATATGTGTATGTATATATATAACTGAATCACTTTGCTGTACACCTGAAACTAACATTGTAAATCAACTATACTTCAATAAAAAATTTTAAAAAATCCAATTACATATTTTCTACAAGAAACCTATTTTAAATACAAAGACACAGATAGATTAAAAGTAAATGAATAGAGAAATACATACATGCTAGCAGTAATAAAAAGAAGGCTGGAATAGCTATTTTAATTCCAGACAAATCAGATTTCAGGACAAGGAAAATTATCAGGGATAAATACGGACATCACATAATGATAAAAGGGGTCAATTCTGCAAGAAGATATAACAATCCTTAATGTGTATGCACTGACAACAGAGCATCACAATACATGAGGCTAAAACTTGTAGGACCACAAGGAAAAACAGATGAATCCACTATTATATTTGAAGACTTCGGCACCCCTCTATCAGTAATTGACAGAGTCAGCAGGCAGAAAATCAGTAAGGACATAGTTGAACTGAACAGCACCATCAATCACCTGGATCTAACTGACATTTATAGACTACTTCATCCAACAACAGCAGAATACACATTCTTCTCAAGTTCACATGGAACATTCACCAAGACAGACCACATCCTGGGCAATAAAACACACCTTAACAAATTTAAAAGACTGGACATCATACAAAATGTGTTCTCAGACTACAGCGGAATTAAATTAGAAATCAACATACAGAGAGAAAGCTAGAAAATCTCAAAATATTTGGAGATTAAACAACACACTTCTAAATAAAACATGGATTCAGAAGAAGTCTCAGGAGAAATTGTAAAAAATATTTTGAAATAAATGAAAATGAAACTAGAATTTACGAAAATTTCTGGAATGCATTAAAACCTGTGCTTAGAGGGAAACTTGTAATGTTGAATGCATATATCAGAAAAGAAGAAAGATTTAAAATCAATAATATAAGCTTCCACCATAGGAAACTAGAAAAAGAGCACATTACATCCAAAGTAAGCAGAAGAAAAGAAATAATAGAAGAGCAGAAATAAAGAAATTGAAAACAGAGTAATAGAGAATATCAATGAAACCAAAAGCTGATTCTTGGAAAAGATCTATAAGATTGGTAAGTCTATAGGCAGGCTGACCAAGAAAAAAGGAGAGTAGACAAAATCACTAATATCAGAAATGAAAGAGGAACCATTACTACTGATCCCATGGATATTAAAAGGATAATAAATACATTATAAACAATTCTTTGCCTACAAATGTGATAACTTAGATGGACAAATTCTATGGCTTATTTTTAATAAATAGGATATGGCAAAAGTATTGGGATGTCACTTCTGAGTTTAAGTCATTCAAGGACTATGTCTTCCATCTTAGGAGCTCTCTGGCTCTTTCTCTCTCACCAGCTGCCTATGATCGGCTCACATGACAGGGAATTGAAGCCAGATAGCAACTACATGAGTGAGCTTGGCAGTGGATCTTCTGAGGCCTTCTAACAGCCATGTAAAAGAGCTTGGATGTGGACCTCGCACTCCAACTTTGCCTGCAAATGAGACTGCAAGCCCCAGATACAGCTTGAGTGTAACTTCACGAGAGATTCTGAACCAGAGGCACCCAGGCTAAGCCATATATAGATTCCTGACCTGTGAAACTGATATAATAAATGTCTGTTGTTTTAAGCTGCTAAGTTTTGAGGCAATTTGTTACACAGCAATAGTTAACCGCTACATACCCTTTGGCCCAGCAATTCCACTTTAAAGTACATACATACACTAGAGCATTTTTTTCCCAATCCTTTTCACATCAGAGCATATGTTAAAAATGCTAATACATGTACCAGCTCACTGGGATGAATGAACAGACTGTCTGTTCTTAGCCAGAAGGAACAGCCCCCAGGGCAGCAGCTGAATAAAGCCAGGCCCATCTTTCTAGAGGGCTAGGGGAATCAATACATCAGAACCCCCATTACTCAGTTGGGAAGCTCTGCCCCAGAGAAACTCTTCAGTATGGGCACAAGGAGCCATGATCTAGGATATTCATTAAATACTCACTTATAATTGCACAAAACAGAAACAAACAAGTCCATTAGCAGGGAAGGAGATTAAAGGCATTGGATAATTCTTGCGGTAGAAGTCCATAGAATGATGATACATTATAGTAATATCATACTGGAACATTGATACAATCATATTCAGCAGATAAAGTGTGTGATCTAGATCTAAATGTATCAAATACTAAATTTCCAAAAAATAATATTAAATACAAATTTAAGTTGCATATATTTATTATACCAGTCACATAATTTAAAATATACAAAACAATAATGTATATGGGTTACAGATATATACATGCATAGAAAAAGAAAAACGAACATGCACAAGAAGGAAACTTTTAAATGGTGCTTTTCTGGGGGGAAAGATGAATAGGATAAAGTGAGAGCTTCCACTGTAATACCCTATTTCAAAAACTGAAGGATCTGAGGATCTGAAGAAAATAAAATTTGCTGTCTGTGTGACAGGTACCTGCAAATGTACATTTTATATTCTGTACTTTTCTGTATGCTTAAAATATTTTAAATGAAAAATACACTATTTCTTGAGTACAAGGATCATATACATTAGATGAAGCTTATGAATTGGATTGTTCAATTTATCTATATCCTTTTATTTTGCAGTCTATTTGCTCTACCTATACAACAAGTATGGTTAAGTCTCCCACTGTAATTCAGACTTTCTGATCTCTCCTTATATTTCTAGCAATATTTACCTCATATATTTTGAAATTACATTGTTTGACATATAAATTTTACCGACTATATCTTCTCCATGAATGAAACAACCTGATTTGTTTTCTTTAATGCTTTTTACTTTGAGTTCTTGATTTTTCTGACATTAACATTGCTACAAGTCTCTTTCCTTCCTCGTTTCCTTCTTTCTTTCTTTCTTTCCGAAATTCTTTCCTTTCCCTCTGTCTGTCCCTCCTCCCCTCCCTTCTTTTTTCTTTCCTTCCTTTCTGCTGGTATTTAACTGGCATATATTTTTTCATTCTTATTTCTGATTTAGGCGACACTCATAGAAACAGCATATAACTGGATTTCTAAAAAGTAAATGCTCAAAATGAGTTTACTTTTTTATTTTTTACGAGAGATCTTAACCTGTAATACATACTGATATATTTGGATTTATTCCTGCTCCTTTTTTTTCCCTCAGCATACTTTCTTGTTGCGTCCCACTCCATCTCTGCCTTTTGTTAGACTGAGTTTTTCTCTTTGTTCTACGTATTATCTCTTTAATGGTTTGACAGTTATACATGGGATTTTTTTCTGCTGTTACTCCTAAAATTTCTTGTTCTTCTATTATGCATTTAATTTCCAGTAAGAACAAAGCTTTGCTATTGTTGTGTACATAGTAATTCTTTACATTCGATGTAAATATTAGAGATACATTGTAAAATACAATTTTTGAAAAAAGAGTTCAGAGTTCAGTAAAATTGTGTAAGTCCAAAAGGCAGAGCTGTAATATTCTGAAAGTGCAATGCAATTATCAGAATGCGAACCCATGTTGTGCTTCATGATTGATCATTTCTTTTGGATAGAGAAGCTTGATTTTGTGATTAACAGCAAGAAATCCTACTGTAAACAGTTTGATTGACTTCAGCCGTCAGGTTAAAAAAATTTAAGCTTACTGCAACCCAAAATACTTCCAGTGCAAACCGTAACGTATACCATAGGATATGTTATATTAACATAATTACTTTCACATCGGAATGAATCAGAATTTGCAGATTTCATTTTATTTAAAAACGACAACAACAACAGCCCAAAACCTAGAACAGGAGGGACTATGGCTAAATGTTTCACATTTGCTAAAGCTGGCTGTTGGTTACATTTTTCGCTGTCCTTTTCTGTATCCTTGACGATTTCATCATTTCAAACGAAATAATGCTTTCGGGCCCACCCTGATTTGTCGAGAGCAGCTACCGCCCCCGCCACATCAAGGGGGCGGGCCGCCACCGACGCCACAATCACTTCCGCCGCCGCAGTCGCCGCCCGCCCCGCTGCTGTCTGGAGGGGGAGGAGCTGGAGACCCGGGAGCAGCGGCTCTGGCGGTCCTGGCGGTCGGAGGTCCGAGAGCTCTGCTCTTCCCGAGAGCGTGCGGGTGTCCTGACTGGGTGAGTGAAAGGCTGTTTATTTCCTCGATCCCTCCAGACGTGGCGGTGGGGCGAGTGGTTGGCCACCGGGGCGAGGAGGTGGCCGGGGGTTGGGGCTCTAGTGAATAGATTCTCAGGCTCGCCCCTCGGGAAGGGGTGGGGCAGACGCGGGACCTGACCGCAGAGCGAGGCCTGTGTCCTCCATCGGCCTGATTTAGGGCACGACCCCCACTCGAGTGGCTTGAATCGCTATTAGAGAGGGGAGTGGTGGTCGCGGTCCTCTCCCACCTCCCTCTGCCTCTCCTCCCCTCTCCTCCTTCCACCGTCCTCGGCCCCTCCGCGGAGCGATCCCTGCCCTTTCTTTCCCCATTTTGCGATTGTTTTGATGAATGCTAGATGATTAAGATTTTCAGGTAAATATATTGTTTCCAGGAAAAGAATTGTCACAAAAACAAATCATTCCCAAGGAAAAACTATACCCCCCACACGCCCTTTTCTTCGCCCCCCTTCCCCTGCCACATCGGTTTGGATCTACCATTTGAGCCAGTAACGTTTCTCATTGTGACACTGCGGCCCCTTCCCATCCCCGTGTCTCGCGTACACGCGTGGGGACACACACACGCACACACACACACACACACGCACGCACGCATGCACAGAAACCTTCCATTGCGGCTCCCTTACCGTCCCCCCCATACTCAAGGTTTCTACGTGTCCCCTCCCCCGCGCATGTGCCCCACATACGCGCACACATCCTCACCCCCTCGTCACACTCTCCAGTGCCTTCCCCTCGAGAGACAGAGACAGACAGGCAGACACACACACACACACACACACACACACACACACACACACACTCGGCCTCATACCCTCCAGTGCTTTTCCCTGACTCTCACTGCCTGCCTCATACACATCTCCAGAAGCGTCCCCTTCTTCCCTCTGCCTTTACGTCCTCCGGTGAGCACACACACACAGCATGACACACACATACACACACCCTCTGGGCTGCCTTACCCCCTGCCTGCCACATACACAAATAAGGATATCCTTGGATTGCTGGCTCTTCTTTCCTGCGCCACTTAGGTGCATACACACCCAGACACAGTCTTTCACATGCCCTTCTCACATGCTCCTTGTCTGCTGTGTATGTGCCTGGACAGCCTCCTTAGCTGGTCCCTGCAGTGCCCACACTCACACTCACATAAATCCTTCCCTGGGCGACACCCCCCTTACTGCTTGCCACATCCATGCATACAGACATTTGTTGATTGCTGGTGCCCACCCACCTGCCTGCCACACACATCCTTCTCTGGTGCCGTCCCCTCATTGATGCATTTGCTCACACTGACATTTCTCCATTGCTGCCTCCCATTTTGATGAACACACACACACAAACTCACAAGCACCCCTGTCCAATGCCACTCTACCCTTCCTGGCCTGCCACAGACACATAAACACAGGCATCCCTCTCCAGAGTTCTAGCTATTACACATAGAACCACACGCACATTCTATTTTCTCACACCTGCACACACCCCTCTCCTTGGCAGCCACCCCGCCCATTCCTGTTGTTTTCACACCCACATCCAGAATGGGTCTCATTCAGTCTGACACTCTCGCCTCTTCCCAGTGCAACTGTCACCCACCCTTTTCCCCTACAAACACAGACATCTCTCCATGGCCTGATAGCTGGTCCCCCTTCCACCTGCCCCACTCCTCCTGACAGACACGTAGGCACTCTAGCACACACAGTGATGGTAATCTATATTTTCCACCCTATCCCAGTTTGCATTTCTCCTGTATGTCTGCAGGGCTCAGGAAAACACAGACACCCCATAAAAAACAGTCTTTCCTCTCCCTATGTTGGCAAAATTCCAGTGCTTCACCCACTTTCCAAGCATCCAGTCACCCCCACCATCTTCTGACAGATTCTCCCCTAAGTCTGGCTTTTCTACAAACCCAGTTTTGTAATCATTTTGCCACCATTAAAAATGTGTTCCAGGTCTACACCTGACAGTCACTGGAATGCTACTCCAGGCCTTAGAAGAAAGTGAAACTAATTTTAAAGTTCCCTTATTCTTTCTGTTACCTGCCTGCTGAAGTGAAAATAAATCTCCCTGCTCCTTTATCCTGAACTGATTTGACTTTCCCATCTCCAAAGCGTGTGCAGGGAGCAGGAGCCTTTCCACTCAAGCCCCAGCTATATTGGAAACCCTCCTAAGTCAGAGGCATGGGTCAGGAATCTAGCAAGCCTATATGGCCCAAGCCAGCAGGAGGGTATCAGTCCAATACAGGCAGGAGGTATGGAAGAAGGCATGCTTATGTCAGTTTCAGGCCATCCACGAGCCAGCAGGAAAGGATTTCCGGCCAGAGAAAGACGACATCTGAAGTCCCAATGCACAGATCAGCCCCCAGTCAAACCACCAAGAGGAGCCGATCACCCTTTTCCACCACTCGTCGTAGTTGGGATGACAGCGAGAGCTCAGGAATCAGCCTGAATGTTGATAATGAGGACTACTCCAGGTACCCGCCCAGAGAGTACAGGGCTTCGGGGAGCAGAAGAGGAATGGCTTATGGACATGTTGACTGTTTCGGGGCAGATGATAGTGAGGAGGAGGGGGCTGGGCCTGTTGAGCGAGTGCCAGTGAGAGGGAAAACTGGCAAGTTTAAAGATGAGAAGCTGTATGACCCAGAGAAGGGGGCGAGGTCTTTGGCTGGGGTGCCCCCACAGTTCTCTAGTTTTAACCGTGATGTGAGAGAGGAGCTGGACAAGTTAGACCCAGCCCCTGCAGCAAGATGCTCTGCTAGCAGAGCTGAGTTCCTTCCGCCAAATAGCATGGCCTCTCAGCCATCTTCTGCTGAAGGCAAGGTGGTTCCAAATGGCAACAGCCTGGAGAGGGAGAGACGGGAGCAGAATGTACCTGCGCGTCCCAGCAGGGCTCCTGTGAGTATTTGTGGTGGTGGGGAAAACACCCCAAAGAGTGCAGAGGAACCGGTGGTGAGGCCCAAAATCAGGAATCTGGCAAGTCCCAGCTGCGTGAAACCCAAAATATTTTTTGATACTGATGATGATGATGATATGCCACATAGTACTTCCAGGTGGAGGGAGACTGCCAACGCTGATGAGGGCCACTCGGATGGCCTGGCAAGAAGAGGCAGAGGCGAGAGTTCAAGTGGCTACGCTGAGCCGAAGTACCCAGAAGACAAGAGGGAAGCCAGGAGTGACCAAGTGAAGCCAGAAAAGGTGCCGAGACGGCGACGAACCATGGCCGACCCCGACTTCTGGACGTACAGCGACGATTACTATAGATACTTCGAAGAAGACTCCGACAGTGACAAAGAGTGGACTGCGGCACTGCGTCGGAAGTATCGAGGTCGGGAGCAACATCTGTCATCCAGTGGCGAGAGTTGGGAGACTCTGCCGGGGAAGGAAGAGCATGAAGCTGAGCAAGGCAGAGGGAATGCCGGTGCCAGTGCCAGCCCCAGTGCTGGTGCCAGTGCTGGCAGCAGTGGCAGCAATGAACTTGAAGAAGTTCGAGGGCCACCTCTCCAGGAAGAGGAACAGGCGTCCCCTGAAGAAGGTGAAGTTCCCTGGCTCCAATACAATGAAAACGAGAGCAGCAGTGAGGGGGATAACGATTCCGGTCAGGAGTTTCTGCAGCCGGGCGTCTTCATGCTGGATGGGAACAACAACCTGGAAGATGACTCCAGTGTTAGTGAAGACCTTGAAGTGGATTGGAGCCTCTTCGATGGGTTCGCAGATGGGTTGGGGGTGGCCGAAGCCATTTCCTACGTGGATCCTCAGTTCCTCACGTACATGGCCCTGGAGGAGCGCCTGGCGCAGGCGATGGAAACAGCACTCGCGCACCTGGAGTCTCTCGCCGTGGACGTGGAGGTGGCCAATCCACCGGCCAGCAAGGAGAGCATCGATGCTCTTCCCGAGATCCTGGTCACCGAAGATCACAGCGCAGTGGGGCAGGAGATGTGCTGTCCTATCTGTTGCAGTGAATATGTGAAGGGGGAGGTGGCCACGGAGTTGCCGTGCCACCACTATTTCCACAAGCCCTGTGTGTCCATCTGGCTTCAGAAGTCAGGCACCTGTCCCGTGTGCCGCTGCATGTTCCCTCCCCCACTTTAAGACCAAGGCTCTTTACTCCTGGTCTGGTGATTTTCCCCATCTGAAATCCACAATACTGCAGGAGCCCTCTCAAAATTAACCATTGAAATGAAACCAGTCGATTAATCTCCACCTGTTGATTCCTTGTGATTATTTCCAATGTGAAAATGGTTGTGTACGATTGCATTAAAAAATCATACTGTCTTTTAGAGGTTAGAAAAGGAAAACTAAACTTTCTAAATGCTACTTGAGATTGCAGTAAAAACCTACATTTTCTAACCTGAACGGTGAAATAAGTTGCATTTGTTTTTTTTTTCTAGTAGAATATGTTGCTGTTGATTGTAACGTCAAGTTTATCTGTTAAATTTGTCCAAGAGGCATCATCATTTCTGTTGCATGTTATGGGTTAATGTTCCTGTAATTGCAGTGCCGTAAAAACTTATTAAAGTTCTTCTTTTGGTTTTACATGGTACAGTGGAATTGTTTGGTTTTGTCAAAAACGGTGGTCCTAAGTGACTTTATAATTGATCTCTTGCATGCAAAATAGTTTTTTTGGTGTTCCCACTAGAAGAAAAACTTTAGTTTCCCTGGAAATGCTGACTCCAACAACAGCCAAAAATTAAAGGTGATTATTTCTAAAAATAGGGATAAAGTGTATGATTGTCAAACTACTTAAAGGGGCAGGTTGAGTAGAGAATACTCTTGTCAGTCTTGAGAAGGAAAGAAATAGTGAGAAAGCATGATGAAAATAATCATAATAGGAATACAGCTAACCTGAGTGTAGGGGTGAAGGAGTTAAAAATCCTCTTGTAGAAGAGAGAAAGTCTCAGAAGGAATTGGTTTAAAAAAAAAGCTGTATGCTAATTGTATACTTTATCACAGTAGCACAAAAGGAATAGAAAAATTTGTCTGCCACACAGTGCTGTGAAAAATAAAAGTACCCACCCACACAGAGTGAACAGGTTTGAACGTATGGCCATTTTGGCTTCAGATCTCTCTCTTGCAATCCAATAAATATACATTTTCAAGCACAGGTAAAATTCTTCACCTATCATATTTACCTTCCTTTTCCACAGAGGTAAGCGCTACCCAGGAAATGGTATGTTTACTTCATGTCTGTGTTTTCGGAAGTGTATGCGTGCATGTGTATGTACATGTGTATATATGTTAGTATGTGTGTGTATATATCTCTGTAACCAATATAGTGTTTATGTTTTTTAAATGGACACAATTGATAGAATGTATATATAATTTTGCGGCTTGATTTTTTTTTTTACCCAACATTGTGTTTGAGCTTTAGCCATTTTGATACATGCATTTTAACTGCTGTATACTATTCAATGATACAAATTGCTACAGTTTATTTATCTATTCTCCCATTGGTGGACATGTAGATTCTTCCCAGTATTTTGCTCCAATGAACATACTTAAAAGATGGCCCTCTGTGCACAGGTGTGAGCTTCTCGAGGGTAAGCATACAGAGGTGAAATTTGGAGGTCTTAGGGTTAGGGAATCTACATTCTCACTAGATATTGCTAAATTGCTCCCTGAAGTGATTACACTAATTGATACTCCTAGCAGCAATTTGAAAGCTCCAACAGCTTGGATATTGCTAATGTTCAACCTCAATGGCAATCAGTGATGTGTAAATTAACACGACAGTGCAACCTACTGTATCCATCAGAAAGCAGTAGTTTTCCTGTGTGATCATATTTAGTTTGGGCTCAGAAGAGAAGAAATGGGAGTACCCATGCTGTTGGCGTGAATGTAAACAATAGCAGCCTTTTGGGAGATCGATTTGGGGAGCAGCTTTCTTCCAAAATATAAAAGTGGCTCATGTCCCTGAGCGCAACTTAGATTCCTTGGTAGTATGGAGTTAATATTGCAGCAATTAAAGACTACATACTGATATGGAAAGATCTGCAAGACATAATACTAAGTTTAAAAAAAAGCATATTGGAGAGCAATATGTACAGTCTTGATGTAAATTAAAACGTTACAAAAGCCAACTATATATGAAAATGCATAAAAGTGTCTGGAAGGCTACATACCTAACTGATGGCAGTGGTTACCTCTCTGGAGGGATGGGGATTGGGGACAAGGAGTAAGGAAGGAGGCTTTTGATTTTTTTTTTCACCTGAAATAATCTGCTTGATTTTTTT